CTGATAGCAGAAAATGCACAGTAGACACATTGGAGGAAATGTAATTATTGTTTTTTTTATTTGCTTGTTTGGTTGGTTGTTTTTGTTTTTGTTTGCAATGGCTTTATCGGCTTTTATTCTTCTGGGTGTGTAATAGGAATATTGACTGCAAATATACATTAAGACATATGCCTTTGGGGCCATGAATGTTGATTTCTATTGACAGTTTATATCTTCTTGAATTGCTGCATCACCTCAGGGGATCTCTGCTTAGTTTCCAAAAAGGGGGTGGGAATAGAGGGCAGTCTAACCCATGTGTGAAGTACGTTAGGCTAAGAGAAGGTCCATGCATTCAAAGGCGAGTAGGAACTAGAACCTCTGTCTCTTCAGTACTAGCCAAACATTTTGACTGCTACATTCCATACTGGTTTTCATAAATACACATTATATACAGTAATAGATTCATGTAAATAATTGGGGGGGGGGTCTTGTACATTCTGAAAAAGTTCAAGAATATTGTAAGTGTTCATAGTCAGGTCATCTTCCATTCACCCCCTCTCCCCCCATCAGTGATGATCCCTTACTTTCAGAGGAAGCACCCAGTATCTGTGAAGCCTCTGAGCACTGAGTAGCATAAGTGTTTGAACTTTCAGAGGATGGGGTCTGAAAACAACAATGCCCACAGAAAACCTGTCCCTTTTTGCCATAGAGGCGTTTGGTAGTTTGGATGAGTAGTATTTCTCATCCTCAGCAACTTTAAGTTGTGTGGACTTCAACTCCCAGAATTCCCTAGCCAAAGTTGAAGTTAAGCATCTTAAAGTTGCTAAGGTTGAGAAACACTGGCTTAAAGCATGCTATGTCCTTTTGATCTCAGTTTGTAAAAGAAGAACAATAGCAGCCAGATTCAAAGGGCTGCTGTTAAAGAGATTGATTAGTTCATATATCATATTAAAGTATGTTTTAAGTCATAGTTCATTGAATTAGCTGCAGTTTGGCTGAGTCTGCAATAAGCTAAGTATAGACTGTAAAGTACAAATAATAATGGCGTAGCATGTTTTGTGAACCCAGAAATTGTAATTCATAGAATGTAACTAACAAACATTTCTAAAATTCAGGATTAGCCTCTCAGACCATATTTTAAGAACATAAGTCCTATCTCTTTTTGTCCTTCTTGAATTCTCTTTCCTCTATCCCATTTTTCTAATTCTTATTTGGAATAACAAGTTTAAATTTGTGATTTGCTTGTAAGTCTCATCTCGCAAGTTAAAGAGCAGTAATATAGAATATTAAAAAATAAAAACAGTTCTCATCCTGGAGAAAATCTTATTTTAAAACAACATACCTATTCCATTAGGAACTGGCCCAGAATACAGAGCAGTGTGGTTGCCAATTACACAACACTTTTGGAGTGAATTAGCTGTCTTGCATTGATCTGATTTAATTGCCCAGTTAAAACAATGCCGTGTTCAAGAACATTTAATAAAGTTAACAGCTCCATTCTGAGCATAGTTTATTGTTTAGAAATAATTTTGTGGAGTACACAGCTTAGTCAGGGAGGAACTAATTCTTGAGGTCCATTTCCTAGGACAAAAGGAGAGGACAATCTTGAAGTAAGACAACCATGCAGAAGCCTGGCAGTGATAGGGACAGGAGACAGCTATTTCAGAGGTGATGTAGCTGTCAACCCTGGAAGCTGACCTGGTGGACACCTTTCTCCATACAGGGGAAGGGGTGCTTTCTTGTTTCTTCAGTTTGCAAAGGGTGGATCCATCCTCCCTTGGCTGCTTTGCAGATGAATTCTCAAGGGGAAGGCTTTGGACCATCAGCAAGATACTCAGGGAATGTCCATGCCCCCTGGACAAAGAAGTTGACTCTTGTTTGCATAGGAAGACTTATCTTCCTCCCTCCGTCCCTCCCTCTATGTCTGCCTGTCTTCAGTCCTATGGTTCAGCAAATCAGTGGTACAACCATTTGAAAGCTTCAGGAGAGTAGATATGGGAAGAGGTCCTTGCACTGAGGTAGGCACTGGTAGTGAGGCTCAGTTGTGTTTGGGCTTAAGTTTTTTCCTTCTACTTCAGAAAGGGCAAGTTCTGTTTTATAGACTTTTCATCAGTCTGTTTTAAATTAGTGGTTGAGCGTTTGACGTAATAACTGCTTTCATAACTGCCACAAAATGTCATTTTAACAAGAGAGGCGTTAAGGGTAAAGGGAGTTTACCAGGAAAATGACCCACACATTCTTTAAGATTAACTTCATTTAACACAGCTTCTTCTAGAGCAATTCCTGGAGTTAGCTGTGAAGTGTTCTATATTAAATTCTCCTTTCCTCAAAGACCATTCTCTATCTGTGAAGTTCCAAGTGCCTTGCTAGAGGGCTTAGTTTCCTTTTGATGAGACATATGTTACAGTTATAATTATTTGTCTTATTTGAAATTTACCAGCAGGCATTACAAAGCAGAAAATAATCTCTCTTTTGTTACAGGCCCCAAGTATTTGGGGAGAAGATCTGTTGTTAAATTGTCTTTAGAATTCAGATCTAGTCATAGAATTCCATAGCCTCATTTGATTCAGCCCTGATCACAGTGATCCAATGCAAAATACAGTTTATACTCTCTCTCTCTTTCTCTCTCCATATATACATATACACACACACACACACATACACACACACACACGGAAAACGAAGAAGCCCAGAATGCTCTGTACTAGCAAAGTGAACATAGCTATAATCTGGACATTCCCGTATGCAAAAGTTGTCATAAATAGAAGCTCCAGACCCATGACATTTGACTTATTGTCCTTCCCTAATCTGTTGTCCTATATGCATTTGGGCATGAGCTCCCCTCATTCTTAGCTCACGTGGGAATGATTGGAGGTATAATATTTTAACACATCTCGAGGACATCAAGTGGAAGAAGGCTGTTTTTTCATGCATAGCAGAGTTTTTTGCAATGCTCTGCTCTAACCACAACTCAGTGTTGGCACATAAGTTGCACCTCTGTCTCTTCTCTCCCAAATCCTCCCATTGGGGATTTGTAGCTGGCAGAAGAATACCAGAACACCAATAGGTAAGATCAGAAAATAGGCCTGCCACCAATTTTATAAGGCCAAGTAATTAAAGAAGTACAATTGGAGGGCAAGGAAATGCTTAAGGGAAATCGTGTATCTTTGTTTTGAATATAGACAATCCCTCAGGCAGTGCTCTCACTTCAATGTGCAGTGAAACAGAACAGATGGAAATTGGAAAAATACAAAGCACCTTCGGAAACCAGAAAGGAAGACAACCCGTGTAAAGGTGAAGGTTAAATTCAAAGCCAAGCTTCCTTTTCCGGTGTCACAAATTTTGTCATACATTGTAGATATTTCCAGTCACAGAAGGACTGCGTCATTGGATGTTGCCATTGTTAATGGAACATTATTTAAGAAATGTTTTAGTCTGACTGTCATAATTCCTTCTTTCATCGTTTAGTTAATGTATAAATATGGGTGAACTCCTAGGTATAAAAATAGGGCCTACTATTTCAATCAAAATATTGTAGAGCTACACTTAGATGAGAAAGTTCATAAAAAGCATACCCCATATTAATAACCAAATTATGCAAGCATTATGCTAATGTCTGATCTCTGGAGGCTATGATCTCATGTAGCTTCACTTGAATGAGCTCCTTTGGACACAGTAGGTTGGAATAAATATACAGGGGATTGTGCTATAAAAGTATTGTTTATGTTCCAGCCCATTGGCTCACTAACACTGTAACATGAAATAGCAGCTGCCTTGAAATAGCAGCTGCCTATCCAAAGGTAAATGAGAAAGCACCCTGCTTATGCCACATATAATTAAGTGATATGGCTTCACAGTTTACTTTTTTGGCCATGATATGTTTGTACACAAACGTTACATTTGAGGTTAGTTTAGGATAACTCTGCACCATTCCTGCTGAAGGCCCCTAATTATGACCACTTCTTGTCATAATTACTTGGGTAGTTCTTTTAGTACAGTATCATAAGACTCTTTCTTGTTTTGCTGCAATAGACTTACATAACTAGTCCCCCGGAGTTAGCATTTTTCATTGATTACATGCCAGCAAGTCATTGTTGACTCCGAGCAACTACATAGACAGACTTTCTCCATGACAGTCTGTCCCCAACCTGGTTCTTCAGGTCTTCCAGCAGTATACCCATCACCACTGTAACAGAATCCATCCACCTTGCTGCTGGTTGTCCTCTTCTCTTCCTGCCTGCCTTCTATCTTCCCCAGCATTAGAGCATTGTCCAGAGAGCTAGGTCTTCACATAATATATCCGAAGTAGAATAATTTGAGCCTGGTCATTTGTGCCTGAGAGAGACCTGGACTGATTTGTTCAATGATCAATTTGTTTGTTTTCTTGGCTTTGGGATATTATCAGGAGTCTTCTCCAGTGCCAAAGTTCAATATTCTTCCTATCCTGCTTCTTCAAAGTCCAACTTCCGCTTCCATAGAGTATCATTGCTTGCATTAGTCTGATCTTTGTAGATATAGATGCATCATGCCATCTGAGTATCTTTTCCAAGACCTTCATGGCTGCTCTACCAAGTGCTAGTCTGCTGTGTATTTCTTGATTGCTTGTTTCTTTACTGCTGATGTTTGATCCTAAAAGGCAGAAGCTATCCACCACTTTGATATCTTCATTGTCAATTCTATAAAACAAAAAAGACAGCTGTTGTTGGTTTTCGAGTTGCATCTCAAGCAGAAAGTGAAAAATTGAAACCAGTTCCTAGATCATGCACTAATAGACATGCAAAATGGTGTTCTGATGACCTCCGGTTGTGCTTCTTCATGGAAGGGCTGCTTTGCCAGATCAGCAATGAACAGGGCTGGGCTCAAAAATAAAATATTTCAAATGCTAATCTGATCCCAACTGTACTTCTCCTGCTTGTAGCATATATCTCTAGTAGAAACCTAACTGAGCTTTGCTAGTGCTCTAAATGTCTGAAATCCCACTGAAAAGTATAAGCTGATTTATTTCTTTTTCTCCTTTGCAGAAGCCCAAGGACACATTGGACCCCAGCTGGTGCAGCCGTTCTTATACCTCCTCCAGCATGTTGGGCACTGATTTACGCCGGGGACGGAGACGCCTCTCCTCCAGCCTGCAGGTCCCTCCATGGAAACCCATAGACAGAGCACGCTCGCCAGAGCCAGACAACGTCCAAAGGCCAACCACTCTGCCGCTACGCATCCCTCCCCGAATTTCTATCACCCATGCTGACCCAGACAGGTAAGACAAGGCAAGGGGAAGGCAGGCAGTGAAGCAGGGGCAGTGTGGCAACAGGAATGTGCCAGTAGGCAATTCATCTGGAAGACAGAGAAAAATCGGTGGCAATGGGGTGGTTACTTACAGTGTTCACTTTGCAAATATAGGAAAGCTATGGGAGGAACTACGTAATGGGAGAACCAATGTCCAATGAATTAGGAAGCTGATTTTTCTTTCTTGAATTGTGTCTCATTTGTGACCACATTCTTGGTGTTCATGTGATCCTCTCTACATCTGCAAATGGCTGTGAGGGGCATGTGGATAAGCGATTGAAGGGCATGTTATGATAGAAATGTTGGCTTATGGCTTGATTGTGGTAAGTTTGATAACAAGGATCCAGGATTTTCTGGCTAACAGTCCACTGCACTTCAGTAAACTTTAGCTGACTACAGCTAAGGTAGGACCTGGAATGCAACACTGCCTTGACTTTTAATATCAGTAGTGGCTCATGCTTGCAAAGGAGAAGTCCTCTGAGTTGCTTCCTCCTTTTGAGCCAAACTGTCCATCACAGAGTGCAAGATGGGGACATTCTGTAGACTATGCTAAGGAGTTTAGAGGAAAAACCAGGAGAAGCTGCGGAGTTGCAGGAGAGGGCTGGGTGTGTGTGATGTTTTAAATGTATTATGCAGATTTTAGGGTTTATCCTTGCTGTGTTTCCCTACCTGAAAATGATAGAAAATGGTGTTTTCAGTTTTCAGGAATTGTGGTCTGCGGGGGCTCTGCAGGCTGCAGAAAAAAGGATGGGGAGTATAAGCTGCCATTCCTGCTGTTGTGTCCTTTTCTGTGAGGCTGGGTTGGTCGTTTTTGGTTGCGAGAGCTCCTCCTTGTGCTGTTATGCTGCTTCCACTACAAGAAAGTATAAACATAAGAGAAGCTGTGATCCTGTTAAGTCAAGGTCAAATTCAAAGTCATTTCCATGGTCAGGCACCGTCAGTCTCCCCTATCCATGAGTGTACTATCAGGTTCCTGTTGCACACTGCAGTTTTCTTAATTCAGAAGAATATTTGCATTTTGTAACTATTTCCCCCTGATTATAGTTTAGTACCCAGTGTAGACTTGAACTTTACATCAACAACAATCTTTGAACAGGTAGAGATAGCCTGCAAGAGAGTAATTGCAGAGACCTTACCTTTTACCAGCTATGCTGTTCCTTGTCATTATTATAAATGTAGCTAAATTTCATGTTGCACAAACATTTTTACAGTAGCTGCCATCTGCTAATGCATTCAAATAAATAAGTAATCTGTGCGAAGTTTTAATTTTTAGTTAGGTATAGATTCCTAGTATTCTCAAGCTGGCAAGGTATTAGTTTAGTTGAGCATAAACCTTCAGCTTCCAACTCTTTCCAGCTTTTTATAAGTACCTGAAGGCATGACTATACAATTTCTACATATATTTTCAGGCGTTCAGGCAGAAAGGGCCTATGAATGTTTCATTATTTATGAGAGAGAGATTTCTGTCTTACCCTTCCAAATATATGCATCATTTCAGACTGCTTGCAAGTTTAAAACTCATACAAAAATTAAAAATGATTAAATGGCAGTGCTGAACACACACAAACTATAAAAAATCTCTCATTATCTTAGGGAACAGGCAGGGTGATATGGCAGGAGGCAGTCCCTGAGGTATCTTGGATCTCAGCCTTTTCAGTTTGAAGGTCAACACTAATACTTTGAACTGTACTTAGAAACAAGAAGTGCAGGGCTGGGGTAATATAAACATTGCATTATTAGCAATTATTAAATGTCTCAGTTATAAGCCATAAATGTTGCAGGTGAGCTGTTGTTCTAAAGGGACTCTTCTTCCCTGCTCTTTTGGGGGGTGCTGGGCTGATTTAAAAACTTCTCAGGGATTCTTTGATGGAATATCAGAAAGGGCAGACAGGCTTCCCTGAAACACAACAGGTCTGCTACCTGTTTATTGCAGCATTGAACTGAGGTGAGTATGGCCACTGTATGGCTGCTTGCAATGATTTTGGACCAAGGCCAAAAGGTGGGCAGAGCTCTTCTTCCCTGACACTGCTTGCCGCTCTAGCAGAAGAACATTCCTGCTCCACTCACTTTCTCGTCTACATGACTTCCTGAAATTTGGTCCCCTGCAATGATGCAGGGGTGAGTCTTTGCTGCTGTGATCCACATACCACTTCCTTATAGCCCAGTGTTTCTCCACCTTGGTGACTTTAAGATGGGTGGACTTCAACTCCCAGAATTCCCCATCCAGCATGCTGGCTGGGAATTCTGGGAGTTGAAGTCCACCCATCTTAAAGTCACCAAGGTAGAGAAACACTATTATAGTTCACAGTGAAACACCCCTTCACCAGTATAGTGGAAGCACTCATCCTGTGCTTGATTTCACTGGTGCAGTTTGGTGCATTTGGTGGCATTACTGTAGGATACCGCACTTCAGGCTGCACTCCCAACTTCCATGGTGCAATGGTGCAACCTAACTGGCCAGCCCAATGTACTACATATTAGGAGGGAGGAGACATTAGTGTTCTCCAGCAGCTTCAGCATGTCACAATAATTCTGTGGCAGATGCAGGAGGGTGAGATGACAGGGATCCCTTGAGAGTCCTTATTCCAAATTGTAAGTATCCAATCTGGACAGGTTATGAGCCATTTGGTTTGTACAGATTATATGTGTAACATCACTGAGATCTTAGAAGAGAAAATGGGATTGACTTCTCACTAAATGGTTATCTTGCAGTGGGTTGGCAAATACAAACCTTCCAATTTCAACTCAAGATGGGAAGGGATTAAGCTGCATATCAGATCCCCAAATGTTAAGCAGAGGGCTCAAGCCCTCAATACGTTTATGATAAATTTACTAAAAATCTGAGAATGTTGATTTCATTTTTCCCATGGTGGAAGGAAATGGGAACCAATAAAATATGTATATTTACATAAGACAGTGGCCATCATGACATTAATATTTTCAAACTGTTGTTACATACACATCAGAAAAAAGAAAGTGGACTTTAATTTTTTTAAAGACTGAAACAGATATGTTGTATATTCCCCTTGCATGACATATTTAGTCTCAAAATGTTTGTTTTCTGTTTAAGTACTAATTCATTCAATCTTATTCTCTATTCTCCCTCCCCCAGTTGTTTAGGCATTTAAGGAAATGCCCCTGTTTCTCTTCATGGGTTTTTTAAAAGCAGTATGTAATGCATATTAGGATTATAGCTATGTTTTAGTAGTTCAGAGTCTCCTGCATCGAACAGAGATATTGGTAAAGTTACCCAGAGGGAAAAAAGACAACCTGTTTGAGCTTTGTTTTTTGTTTTTTGTTTTGTTTTGTTTTCAGCCAGTTGCTAGGGAAAGTAGACAGATATTGTTGTTTTAATATTGTTTTATAGCTGTAAATGTAAGAAAAATAGAACATTTCTTTACTGGATTCTGCCTCTGGTCCCATCAAGAATGATTGGGCTCTTCCATCCTAGAAGGTCCGCCTTGGGTTGCAGAGGCTTTAGGTCTGGGGCTGTTGTCAGGATGGGAACTTTTCATTTTAGCAACAGGCTGGTATCAGCTCTTTATCCAGGAGGACAGACAGAGATGCTGCTGCATTGGGCTCTTTGAGATTGTGCAATTCATAGTAGCCAATCTGATCAGAGCTACAAGTAATTGTTTTGAGAAGGAACATATTTGGACAGAAGGAGAGCCCTACATCCTTGGACATGGGGGTAGTCTAAGTAAGCATGTTTCTGGATAACCCATCAGTGGGCCTTATAGGCAGACATTAAGACCAACTAAGTGTGAGCTAGATTAAATATCCAGTAGCTGGAGCATGTGCACATTCATCTTTAATGGTGGCACGTTGATGCAGGCATTCATCTGTGTCTTAAGAATTGTGGATGTGATCTCTTTTACTCCAAACATGCTTCAGTTTGTTGAAGCATGTGTTTATCTCTTCTCTTCTTCCTCTTATCATTATACATGTATCAGAGTCTTACAGTTAATCCAGGGGGATTTGTGATGAAATTGGCTCTGAAGTCCCCAGGCACACCATCTGTATTAAGTGGCTTATTCAGATCAGAGATATAAATTTCCTTGTCATGGAAATCCCCTTTAAAACCACCTTCATCTCCTTAACCAACCTCCCTCCTTTTCAACCCTCCTGCAAGAGGGGCTGGCATAATCCTACTGATGTTCTCCCAGTACTGTAGATAATCTCCCTGTTTGCCACCTTCCTGGCAACTCGGAACAGAGGCTGGAAGACTGACAGGAAAGTCATGATCAGTTCAAAGAACCTCACATTATTTCTGAATTACAAAGGATACTTTGGCTTTTCAAATATACATTGACTTCTGTGAATTGGACTCTTTACAAAACTTACTCAGCATGCAGTGCAGCAAGGGAGGCTAACTCTTATCAATTCTGCAGCATATTTCTGCCTATGTCTGTTGGAAGGGTTGATTATTTCTTTATTATAATGGGAAATTAGTGTGACATAGTACACTTTCAGCTATGTAAACACAATGTGTATTAATAATGATATTTGGCATTTATATCACATTGCAAAACATCAGGCAGTGTACAAATTAAATGAATGAATGAATGAATGAATGAATGAATGAATGAATGAATGAATGCCTGAAACCCCCTACCCCATTTTCACATCTACTTTAAAATACTGGTAGTGACTTGTCTGTTGTGGAACAACAATATGCTCCATAGAGAATTGCAGTGCAATAATGGTACAGGTTGCCTATTATATTCAGCTCAAACCATTTAGCAATACTATTGAAAGTTATCCTGAGTTACGAATGAGGACGTTTCTATGCTTCAAAGTTCCTAAACTTCAAATATACTGCCATGGTAATTGTACAATCATCCTGTAACATATTATTTTTATCTGCATATTGCAGATAGGATGAGGAGATGCTGGCTTGACTTGGGTCACCTAGAGAATGAATGGAAAGAGCAAATTTAAACTAGGAACATCTCTGTCT